CTACAGGCGCCCACCACCACACCTGGCTAATTTTTTGTATTTTTAGTAGAGATGGGGTTTCACCGTGTTAGCCAGGATGGTCTCGATCTCCTGAGCTCGTGATTCCCCTGCCTCGGCCTCCCAAAGTGCTGGGATTACAGGTGTGAGCCAGCACGCCCAGCCCAAAACCCTTTTCCTTAAGGGAAAAGTGTTCTGAGGAACATACTATTTAAAATGTTGCCATTGAACCAAGTCCCACAAAGGTGAATATAACCAGAGGCCTGGTCTCTTCCTAGCTGGGTACAGAGGCAGCTCCTCTAACAGGATCCACCAGTGAGCCTCAAAGTGAGGGACAGATGACACTGTCATCTTCTTCAAATATGGCACAAAATGAAAAAAATCAATTATTGAATTAACTTGAAACAATTATTATGATGGAAATTACAGAAGACCATGCTTCAAACACCTCTCCAAGAGCTCCAGAGGCATGAAACAATTATTATCAGAGGCAAACATCTGCCTGAAGTTTCTATATGCAAAGATGCCTGTCTGAATGTCTTTTGAGGGTTCCAGGAGGGCTTCAGTCTCCTGAATGTCTCAGAGAGGGCCTATAGGAGCATCAAGTTTAAAAGGTATCACAGGAAGAAGCTGATCACTATGATGTTGGGTTTCAAAAGGCCTAAAAGATTCATCTGAACACGGAAGATGAATATTACATAGAGCCTTAAACAACTAAAATTAAAAACAAAAAGCTGGGCTGGGTGCAGTGGCTCACGCCTGTAATCCCAGCACTTTGGGAGGCCAAGGCGGGTGGATCACGAGGTCAGGAGATCAAGATCATCCTGGCTAACAGGGTGAAACCCCGTCTCCACTAAAAAAAAAACAAAAAAAATTAGCTGGGCGTGGTGGCAGGCGCCTGTAGTCCCAGCTACTCCGGAGGCTGAGGCAGGAGAATGGCGTGAACCCAGGAGGTGGAGATTGCAGTGAGCCGAGAGCGTGCCACTGCATTCCAGCCTGGGCGACAGAGCGATGCTCCGTCTCGGGGACGGGAGGAGGTGGGGGAATCTGGAATGAGAAGGCATTATTATTATTATTATTATTATTATTTGCTTTCTGTAGTGCCGTGTTGCCTCCTTCCCCCAGCACTATGCTCCAGCTGCAATGGGAGGACGGCAGTGTGCTGCAAATCCCTTATGAGAACCACCAATGTATGCAGGAGTAAATGAGGGGTAAATGAGGAAAGAGGAGGTACCGACCAAGCACCAAGGCTCACTTTCATTCAAACTCACAAAGCCTAGTACTAACCTCAAAAGAGAGAGAAAGAAAAAGCTCTAAAGAGAAAGAGAGCAACAGTGAAACAAAGGCAGGACTCTGAATAACTTAGGGCTCCTTTCATTCCTGAGAAATCCTTGAGAGAAACACAGCCCAAGGGACTAATAGCTGCTATTGTTTCTCTTCTTGGGATACCCCTTTCATGTTCCTTTGCAGTAATAAAGTTAACTACGAAAGAGTACAGAGCTTTTTAATGGTGATTAAAGAGGTTAGTATCATCATATGAAAGCTGGCACAGGGCAGTGTAGTAAAAGGTTACCAACTAGGCTTTTTTTTTCTTTTAGAGAGATAGGGTCTCACTATGTTGTCCAGGCTGGTCTTGAACTGGACTCAAGAGATCCTTCCGTCTTGGCCTCCCAAAGTGCTGGGATTACTGGTGTGAAACACCATGCTTGGCCCAACAAGGCTTTCACTAACTATGATACATTATTTAATTATAAACACAGGGTTCTAAGTACAGAATCTCAGAAAGAAAGTTAACCTTCCTCCAATACCAAAAATTGATATAAAAGAAGAAATGGTCCTTTCAATTACTAGGGGAGTGCATGTTCTCAAATGCCACTTCAGTTTTTGATTATTAGATGTTTAAGTAACAGAACTAACACATCTTTAGTGAAGAACTGGGTAGATGGGTCGATTCTAGCTTGTTTCTTAAATCTGTTAGCTTGTAAGTAATCTAGTACCTACATCAAAACATACCTACATCAAATATACCTTTTTAAACAGAGGTTTCCAAAGTAATGTATCTACCATATACACCCACTAGAAACACAGTAGATACAGGGGAGGATAAAAGGGTAGGCAAAAGAAAGATTAAAATTTCAAATATCTAATTTGATTTACTAAGATGAAAATGAAATTTAGAGTATATTACTCACCAGCATTTAAATGACATTCTTTAATCTGAAATTGAAGTTCATTTTCATTGGGAATATCCTTCCATGTTGCAAGGAAGACCTGGCGCTCTGTATGGGGAAGCAGAGGGGAAGGATGGATGTGCATAATCTGTCAGTATTCTGATTTTTGATGCCTTGCATCATATTTTCCTTTGTCATGCTGGCCCTTGCAATATAGCTAGCAGCAGGCTAGGACTGGAGCCAATGCTGAGTTCTGCAAAAGTGCTATACTTCAGATCAATTAATCCCTCATCAATAACACTAGGACACATTGGAAAAGAGTCTACATCTAAGGTTTCATTTTGGCTCGTTTTCCTATTTTGGTGACTTATGACCTTTCTGAGCCTTAATTTCTTTATCTATAATTACATCTGTCCTGCCTACTCCAAGAGCTATTGTGAGAATCAAATCAATTAAGTGCCAACATAGTTTAATATGCACCAATATAAGCCAGTTTTATTAGATTGTGGTTCATAAATAAGGGAAGAGAGAAATGTCAATAGGCACGTCGGGAGTTCTGATGGTTTATTACAAATTACTGAATTCTTAGCTTGAGGCAGTATGAACTTAGTACAGAGTAAAGTGCTAAATTTACATGTATTATCTTATGAAATAATTATAAAAATTATTTGCACTGCAAATTTGGAAATGGAAGTTCCAAAAAGTATATCACTTTGACCAGTCACATAGCAAATAAACGGCAGAGCTGAGACTCGAATCCATATTTACCTGGTCCCCAAACCTCTTACTCTGTATCCTGGGGTGACTGGATTATTCAGATATTGGGCACTGTGATTTAGAGACCAATGGCAGAGCAAGAACGATTGTGACACAGAAGAATAAATAATAAACAATTATTAAGAGCTTTAGAATATCCTTACTCCATTTTTTAACCTCAAAATAACTAAAAACTTCTGGGGCTATGCTTTGACTGACATGCAGAGGAAGGGCAAAGGTATATTCAGCAGGATAGGCAGGAACGCACTTACCCATTTTGCCATCTTCTACAAAAAGCACATTGAGTGGGATGAGGCAGCTGAAGTAGAAGACATCGATATTGTTTTTCACAGCCACCTGCCAGGAAAGCAACAAGGTAAAATGAGGACATCGCAGGGAGCCAGGTAGGAGGAAAAGAACAGCGTTGTGTCTAGAAATATGCATCCCTATTTCCTTTCTCTTTCGGTCAGTGCAGGTCTCCCCAAATCAAGACAAACTGGCCCACATAATGCAAAGTACACCCTTATTTACTCCATTGTCATAGAACTGTGACAACCTGCAACTCTACCTCCTTCTAGAAGGCCTGTCTTCAAGGCACAACTTGTATACCAGGAATAATCAAGTCTGTGATTTTTTTTCTCTATGATTAATAGAAGCTGCTACCACTTACTAAGTTACCTATTAATGATATTATTTCTAATTCACATTACAATGATCTCAAACAAAGTAGATATCATTCCCCTCTCATTTCACAGATAACGAAACTGAGGTTTAGAAAGACTAACATCCAGAGTCACGTATGTGGTACACAGAATTAGGATTCAAACAGAAATTTGATGCTAAACCTTGATTTTTATTTCTCCCCACAATAACTAGTGCCATACTACCTCTTATTTTTTATTTTTTAAAATATCAGTTTTAAAGTTGTTTCTTTTGTAAAACCTTATTTCCCAGGTCTTATGGTTGGAAAAAGCTTATTGAGCTCAACATTGGTAAACCTGATGACTATAAGAACAAAAAACCTCTAAGCAAGCAAATAAATGAATTTTCTTCTCACAATACAAACTTCTTGACTATGATTCTACCATAGCCTACTTAATTCAGAGCATGCTGTTTTTTAAAAAAGCTACAGGAAGTACTTTTATTGAGGGCAACGCTGATTGGTATATACATTCAGGAACAGGCAGATTGCAAAGCAGCAGATTATAAGGCCCTTATACTGTAAGAGGGAGTAGGAGGAGACTTGCTCTAAGTCACCACCTCCTACTGTTTTCTGTCACTAATGACTTTCCTAGCTATGCTCTTAGCGCTGTAGGAAAACATTTATCTGAGCAAGTTCTATGATCAGTAACTATACCTGTTTCTCTCTCATTTTGCTCTAAAAACAAAGTTAAAAAGTGCTTGTCTAGTACACTATTCTCACTCTCTGCCTTTTATGGCAAATGCCTACACTTCAACAGCATACTGACCTCTTAAAACTGTGGCTATGAGATCCAAATAGCCTCTTTCTCAAGTACTTCCAGTCCTTCTACATTTAGTATCAACTTACCTTCCTTACTTTAAATGGTGCCTGTACTCCCTTCTCCATAATATGTGTGTTCTCTCTCCCAGAAGTGTCCATCCAACTGTTTTCCTTGCTTTTAACCTGTCAACTAACAAGGCTAGGAGTTTGTGACCTATATATAACATGGCCTGATGCCCAAAATGCTGAGACAGGATTCTCAAAAAGCTTGAATCTGGTGAATTTAAGCAGAGTAATGTCAGGAAAGAGGAACTAAAGGTATTCTTTAGGACGTACTAGAGCATGGGTGGGTGTGGTGGTTCAGGCC